ATAATGTCAAGTCCTACAGAAATGTCACCAAAGGATGATTTTTAGAGAAATAAATGAGTTTTTGTAAGAAAATAGAAAAACAATCGAAGGGTACACTGAAAAAAAATATTTTTAAAACTTAAAAATGAGATTTCTCAAAAACACCCTTTTTTAAATCTGAAACTTTTTCTAAAGATAGACATACCATTTACCTACAACTTGTTGACACATCCCAAGATGGACACTTTTAAAGGAAAAAAATTATTCAACAAAAACTTGTTCGTGTTTGCACTGAATAAAATCTATGATTTTTTTCAGGGTGGGAACGACAAATTAAATTTTTTTGAGTGTTTCACGTCTACCACTAAATAATATTGAGTTAAACTTCAAATGAAAAATTAAATGATCTTTTATAAAGCTTTTGAATATTAAGGAAGGGTCAACTAGTTGCGGAGATATGGACGGAACATGTTATGGTTAATATGGGTGTCGATATATCAAATCAAATAAATCGCTAACAAAATATGTTTAACGAGTGAGAAAACCAGTTTCAATAACACAAAATGTACCTAGCCTCACTACCTTCTGACCATTATTTCATTTTTACGGATAGTCTTAGCTCATTGAAGGCTATTCGTTCAATGAGGCCGATGAAGCACTCCTCGTATTTCCTGCCTGAAATACGATCTAAACTGAGTGCTTTATCTAACTGCTCCTATACTATCACCTTAGCTTGGGTCCCATCTCATTGCTCAATTCCGGGTAATGAGAAAGCGGACTCATTGGCTAAGGTGGGCGCTATGGAAGGCGATATTTTTGATATTGCTCGTCAGCAAGTCCTCATCAGTTGGCAACAAAAATGGAATGATGGTGAATTGGGAAGATGGTTACATTCTTTTCTCCCACAGGTGTCGAACAAACCATGGTTAAAAGGGTTGGACATGAGCCGCGACTTTATACGCGTTATATCAAGGCTTATGTCCAATCACTGCTCGTTAGACTCGCACATCTATCGAATTGGGCTCTCAGGCAGCAATTTATGTGCGTGTGGCAGTGGTTATCACGATATCGAGCATGTTGTTTGGTCATGTACCTTACACCGTGTTGCCAGATCTGAGTTATCCACATCCCTCAGGGCCCGAGGAAAACAACCCGCTAAACCCGTTAGAGATGTCTTGGCGAGCCCAGACCTCGACTATTTGAATTTAATTTATGTGTTTTTAAAACGGATAGATTTGAGGATTTAGTAGTTAGTGTCATCTTGTGTTCTCCCAAGTTGTTAGCTGCCCATCGGTGTACCCCCATGTTTGTCTTTTTCATCAGAGTGTCGCCTAGTTCAAGATCAAGAGCACATTGCTCTCCAAACCTTGTGTTCACAATCCCTACCCTGCCATCCATTTGTTACAATTTGCTACCCCTAACCTCGAGATAGCCGCGAGTAATCGGCCCCCGCTTTACTAACGTTAGTTTTAAGTAATATTGTTATCCATCCAATGAATATCGGCTCCGCAAAGCTACAGCAAATGAGCCTGGAAAAATAAACGAATTTAAAAAAAAATGGACCTATAAAATATATATTATTTCCCGTTTAAGATGTAGGTACACAAAAGGTACGATGTAGGTACGACCTGTCTGTAGGTATACATTATTTACTATTTAAGTAAAGATGTAGATACGACCGAAGTCAAGAAATCAATAAGACTGGCAACTTTTCCCTTCCTCTGAGGATGTAATCTTTGCAATCAAATTCGTTCGAAGCATTTATCTTTGCGCGGCAGATGACGCGATTGTACCTGTCTCATAGCGTTCGTATGAGAGAATGGAAGAGTTGCCAATCTTCTTGATTTGTTGTCTTCGTTACGACCCTATTCAATGTAGTGTAGAAACAGTGACAGTTGGAAAGTAAATTACTATAACGTTTAATAACAATTATTCCCATGGATGCCAGAAGTGTTTTTAAATGCAGTGCTGGTATTTCGAATCCCAAGTGCAACCGAAACAAACTACGTTACTTAACACCAGCATTAATTAAAAAATCCAATCTATGGGATATACTCACCAACTGAATGTACAGATGAGCATTTGTGAGTCATGCCGTGAATTGGTTCAGCACAATAGATATACATAAAAAAAAACCGCGCTCGGATCTGTGCGATCCACAACCATCCACAAGTGGGTATGAACCACCAACAAGTGATGAACAACCATCAACAAGTGGCCACCAACCTGATGATATACCAGGTAAGAATACTCAGATCGATAATTTATAGACTGTTATATATTTCTTTGATTTGTAATGATATAAGCAGGCCAATGCCTGGAATTAACGATTACGTGTCTGAACTTCGAAATGGCCTAAAATAATGGGTTCAGAAGCGACTTCTTATGATGTCTCTCAAAGAGGCATATACAATATTTGAAGAAACGTATGCGAGTATTAATAAATAAATAAATAAATAAATAAATAAATAAATGCAGAAGTTGCACACGAATTTGCTGCACTATTAGAAGAAAGTGGTAAAGAAGATGTAATTTATCAACAGTGGCTATCTACGGATCTTTGTAACTTGGAGAACATTATGAAACCTGCAAATGAGTTTGCCACGTACTTCGTAGATAAAATTGATAAGTTAATCACTCATGACTTTATGTGTAAAGAACAGTCAAAAAAGATTCTCTAAAAGAAGATGAATTAATTATAATTTGCGATTCCTCTGACAACTATTCATTTATTTTTCAGAACGCTGCTCAGAGTTACCATTGGAATAACGCTCAGGCAACTATTCACCCTTTTGTGGTTTATAATACACAGAAAAAAATGCTGAATTTTAACTATCGCGTGAAATCTCCCTTCGATTAATTTTGAGCTATACTTGGCATAAACAGTGAAATCGTTTACAAGATTGCATACAATATTGCTAATTTATACGATATTGTGCTTAAATTTACACGAAATATCGTGTAAATTTATGCCAAATCTAGCGTTAATAAAATAAACTGATAGAATTCTTGAAACTATCAATAGATTTCTCCATGATAAGAGCAGAAAAAAATTTGCCAGTCTATGTAACTTCATATCAATGCACAAATTGGAGGCATGGAAAAGATCCCTGTGATGCTATTGGTGGAACTTTAAAACGGATGGCAAAAAGAGCAAGCCTTGTCCAAGAATACGGAAATACTATTACAACCCCACGAGAGCTCTACGACTGGCAGTTAAACAAACAGAGAAAAGCATCACAACATTGAATTTCTGTTATATATCTACTGAGCAATACGAAAAAATGTCAGAAGAACAAGAAGATTTGTTTCACCACGCAAAGACGATATCTGGTACACAAAAAAAATCACAGTTTTCAGCCTATTGCTTAACTTATATATAAGTTATTCTCTAAATAAGATAAAATACCTCGAGACGACCGCGAGTACTCGGTCCAGTTCCTTTAATTTTAAATATAAGACAGTAACAATGTATAACGCAAAGGATAACTCGGCTCTGTAAAGTTTATTCGATTGAGCCTGTACAAATAAAGTAATTACAAAAAAAAAAATAAGATAAAATAAAAATTTATGAAATAAGAACACCATTTTTTCATACTCTGCCAATTAAACATAACATTAAAATTAAATTGTCTATATCATTCACATTAGGATTGAATACGTCTTCAATATCTTTTTTGGTGTACCTTTCATTTGGAGCTTGTTGAGTGAAATCCGGTTGAGTGGTAGGTTTCTCATGAGTCTCAACATTTCAATATTTTTCATGTCTACACTAAAAAAAATCATTGATTTCATTCAGTGTGAACACGAAAAAGTTTTTGTTAAATTTGTTTTTCTTTAAAAGTGCCCATCTTGAGATATAAGAACGAGTTATAGATAAATGGTCTGCTTATCTGTAGAGAAAATTTACGATTTTTAAAAAATTGTGTTTTTTTAAATTTTAAACATTTTTTTCTTCAGTGTAGCAATAACATTTTTAATGTTTTGGTATTTTATTATGCAAGCTCATTTATTTATCTACAAATCATTTTTGGTAACATTTTTGTAGGACTTGACATTATAGAGTTTAAATTTTTTGGAGAAAGTATTTATTAAAAAAAAGTTCCGCCCTTTTTAAATGATGGTCTAGCGTTTAAAAAAAAAAGTATGCAAAGTTGCTTAAGTATACGAAATCTACACACAATGACATGGCCTTTGCCACGATAAAATAGTCTTTTTAAATTTAGTAGATCAACTGCATTTGTGGATTGTGGCCAAGCTTTCATTTTTTCGGATCTGTTAAATTTTGATTGTAAATATTTGGTTGGTGTTATTTTTCATCTTCTTGTTTTATTGAAAGTAAATTAAGAACGGTTATTACAAACAATCTGTTAAATTGTGTACATGAATTAATATCTGATAAAATTGGACATCACTAGTAACAATGCATTCTTTAACGGTAGACCAACTATTGATGCATAAATGATTGAAGAAAATATAACAATCACGAATGGTGTTGACCCAAGTTTGTTTACACTGCCATCAATCGTCAGTCCGCATCGTCAACCACACTTGGGCTTAGTCATTCATACCGAATGAATCACACCAGTCCAAGGTTCCATTGGAAGTACATTGCATTCTATCGGAGCAATATAATGCTCAACCTGCGAAAGTCCTTCCACGACAATTTGCAAACAAAGCTTTCAGTGCCTTATCTTGATCAATCTCCGAATTGAAAATTTCCCATTCTACTCTACACACTCTACTCCACAACAATGTTCCCATGCTTAACATCCAAACAAGCCGAATCCCATGGAATTTTCAAACGACGTAGGCATTTATAGTACACAAATGTTGGACGTAGCGTAGCAACATTTCGAAAACGTCATCACCATCACCATAGGTAAAACAAAACTCCTCTCACGCCATGTCATTTTTCTCGATTTTCTCTTCACAATCTCGCTCTCTCATCTCTGTCTCTGTGGATTCCTTTTATGCTAGCTCAAGCATGTCTCTTGATTTACCTCGAAAAACTAACTGACCTTGAACTTTGGATGCTGCGCCTGTATCCGCCACACCGCACTACCACATTCAAGGCTCGTCACACGCGTTGAATAAGGATATCCCTCTCGTTTTGCCACTATCAGTGAAATACGGGAAGCCCTGTTGACCTGTATTTTCAATCGTACGGGTACGGAAGAGTGGGATCTTCCTGATGACCCGAGCTGCACGTACACGTGCCAGGAAATTTTAATCCAATTCAAGGGTTTTTTTTTCAAGCCTGAGATCTCACAATCCGACGAGTTTCACAGTGATCAGCTTCAGGGCGAAGATGAGACGCAAAAAGCGAAAATCGCGTAAATCGTGTTTTGATCCGGTTTCGATTCCTTCAACTTGGCTGGAGAGCACTGTTATTCCGTTTCACTCACGGTATGTAAACAGATTTTACATTGAAACACTCGTTTTTATTTTTTTGCGCTTGCAATTCTCCTTTCATCGAACACAACTTGCACTAAACTAGTTTTCATACAGCACTCGGTTTTCTATTTTTTACTTCTTTTTATCGATGAAGCAAGATGGATATTTCAGCAAGAATTTCATGATAACACTCGTTTAAAAAAATAATAATGAAATTTCACTTTGTCTGAAAACACCAACAATCAATTTGTGTAATTACTGCAGCAGCACTTTTTGTTATCTCTCAGAGTGCCAACAACACCAGGGAATCGAATTTTTTTAACAACCATAAAAAGGCAGAGTAATCACGCAAAAAGAAAATTAGAAACTTTTTATTGTCGTTCCAGGCTGGCCCCCGCAGTACCTGCCGAAGATAATAATTTACAGCACAATTTCTCACTCACTCACGTATCTCCGATCGGCGATCGGCGATCAACAAAGGCTACGGAGTCATAACGCTTCAAACGACATTATCAATTCCTCGGCTGCAATCATGAAAATTAATAATTCACACTCGGGCACTCGAACGCAGCAATTGAAACATTAAACATCAGTTGGAAAATCTATTCCGTTTCTCGGTGGCACGACCCCCCGCCGTCAAAGTGGTCCTCTCTCCCGGAAGAATACACGCAAGCAACAACCAATCGGTCCACAGAGTTCACACACTCCGCACTCCAACTTGAGAACTCTGCGCGAAATGCATTCACAAAAGGAGGCCTCTCAAATGTGTCACACACGCATCATTGCCTTCTCTGCCCTTCGCCTATGCATTGCATTGTCACTTGTTCCTGTCCTCCAGTCGTTTGCTTATTTATGCACTCTTGCTTTATGATCTCCCGAAATGGGGATCGCTGGTGGCATGGGGTGCAACCGCAACACAGTTGACAACAACGGCACCAATAAAAGAAAAGTCCAACAACGAAAACGCGACGCCTCACCGTTTCGACGAATACGGATACACACTGCGTTCCACCCGACAGTCGAACACGAATTGAGAAAGGCCCCCGAGAAACGATATGCTACATGGGCGAGTCGGTGAGCGAGCCACTGTTCAGTCGTCGGTATGTATTTTGCACTGGATATGGGGATTGTGGGATGCACAACAGCTGTGACGACTAACGACCGACCAGGAGACGAGAGAGATCGCAATAAGCCTATGGTAGTATGAATGTGCATTTAGTCGGTACGATTTCTTCCTGCTTGTCCAGTTGACGATCGCTCTCGATTTTTGGCCAAGTTTCTCGTGAGCAATGTTGATGATGTTGTGCCGGGTTTCTCTCAGTATATGCTCTTTGTTATGCTGCACGATGGAACCACTACAGAGACGCGCTATGTTTTGGGTGGTTGGTTGTATTGAACGGCGTGTTGTTGGGTGATTCATGTTGGCAGATAGATGGGCACGATATCTTGTCTAGTGAAGTTCGTCAAGAGCTGCGACATCTGTTGAGTAGTAGTTTAGCTTAGGGAATACTCAGTGGAAGCGCGAGCTTACGGTCTTTAAACAAATCGATCCCAGAGTTATCAAATTTAAGTACAAAAGTTAGCTTTGAAAGACTTTTGTTGTAAAGAATTCGTCAATTCATCAATTCCGCAAAAAAAAATCATAAAACTCAGAGGATTTTCGAATCCATATGTATTTGTTTCATTTATTACAGACTTTAAGAGTTCACGGGATGATATTATTATGAAATCCATAAATAGGTTTTAATGTTCTCTATATTCTTGATATGGTACAGCTCTACACTAACTGCTTCCCAAATGTTGTGACCAAATCATAAATCCCATTTCGCGAAATACCTTTTTTATGATTTGATAATCTTAGTTTATAGTTAATAATGTAATCTAACAGCAATTTTGAACAATCGTTCCAAAATCGTATGTAGTAAAAAATCAATGTTCATACTTTAAACGTTTGTTTTAAGTGTATACTCAACAAACAATTTATGCTGATTAATGGCTGAATAAGGCATTTTTTGCCGGACAAGCATATTTTTGCCTGAATAAGATCTTATTCTGCTTGCAATGTTGGTTGAGTAGTATCTATGGGTAAATTTTAATATATTTGATGGATAATTTTTTTAGGTCAATGACAATAGGGTGGTCCCTATTGCAATATAATAAATCTTTCATTTGACTGATTCGAGATAGGCCGATGAAATATTCTCCATTAACTCAGTTGGAAAGGACTTTCCTTAGCGCACTTGGTAAAGGCGCAGCTACAAAGCTAGACCATGCTGGAGGTGACTGGGTTCGATTCCCGGATCGGTCTAGGATTTTTTCAGCTTGGAATTTGTGTTGACTGTTGCCATAGAGTATGATTGTATGTTCTAAACAGTTAAACTAATGCAAAAATAGTACAGACATAGAAAGCTCTCAATTAATAACTGAGGAAGTGTACCTAGAACACTAAGTTGAGAGCACTGAATAAGCTAACATGCGACAAACACTATGTTGAAGAAGAAGAAGTAGAACCTTCTCATGTTCCTTTATCTTGGATATATCTCCATGTCCGGAATATTTAAATTTAAATAAAACTCCCTATATCATGAAAGTTCTTCTAAATCCAGGATCTTACAATTTTCGATGCATGAATCCTAAAAATAAATTAAAGCCTCAGAATATAATTTTTTACTCAAATTTTGAATCTTGATTTTTGTGTGCCCAGGATTTTTAAATTTGTTGTGGAAAATAGAATTATTTTACAATTTGCTCCATAATACTTTTGAAAATGTTCTGCAGAACACTCTCTGAATTCGCTCTGCAATGCTCTTCATATTGTTAATAATTTCTGCAGTGCGATTCCACGATAAATACTCCAGACCAAATTCACTTGGAGTTCTCTTCAGCATTTACTTAGTATTCTCCTGAAATTCACATGAAATTACCAATTCCATTTTTGTTCTTCTCCGATTTCCCAATAATTTTATTTAAATGTTCCTCATAATTTTCTTGGAACTCCCTTTTATTAAAAAAAAATCACCGGGGTATCGTTGGAATGCTCCTATGAATTAATTTGAAACTTTTCTCTTTATTTTGTTTGAATCGTCCTCGGAATTTGTCATTAAAGTCCCTTCGAATTACCTTAAAATTTTCCATAGATTTATTTCGGAATAGTCCTAAGAAATTCATTGGAATTATTTTCAGAATTTTTGTTGAATTTACTTTAGAATCCCCTTTGAATTGAAACTCTTACCAATTCATTTGCAGTTCTCCTCAAAATTTGTTTCGCATTCTAGTCAGAATTCATTTGGAATTCCATTGAATTTCTCCTGGAATTATTCTCGGATTCAATTGTAATCCATGGTTTAGCATACCCCCGAAGCAGTCTCCGGAAATTTCCATGGAACTATGCACTGGATTATTTTTCTCCTAGAAGCTTCATGTACTTATGCTCAGAATTTCCATGGATTTCTCTTTTGAATTTCCTTGAAGATCTCATCAGAATTATCTTCCAAGATTTTTGAAAATCCTTCAAGAATTAACCTCGGTAATTCCTATGAGTTTACGTTAAAGTTTTCATTGAATCCCATTGCATGGAATTCTACTCAGAACTACCTTGGTATTCTCTTAAGGTTTCTCATGGAAACTATCTTGGAATGAGATCCTTAGAAATTCGAATCAAATTTTATGAGCTTTGAAGAATTTTGTTGGTTGTTTGATTTTGGTTTTCAAATCTGTGATCTTGGCAAATGCTTAATGTCCAACATCATTGATTTTTATCTTCATTTCAGATTCATAAAAATGACTCGAGGTATAATTATTTTTAAGATCAAAATAAAAAAAAAATCATGTTTAAAATCTGTGAAAATAAAATTTTCCAGAACTAGAAAAAAATTTCAAGTCTCCGAATTTTAAAATTTATTAGATACTGAAGATAAAACTGGCCCAGATCTGCTAAGTCCAATAAGTGAAATAAAATAAAATGAATGCTTTAAAAATGCATTATTTGCTTAAAATACTTTTAGTAACAGAATTTGAAAATTCCATGAGAAATAAAACAATTCCCTGAAAATTCCAGGTTTATCTAGTGAAAACTTCCCTGGGAAATCCCAGCTTACGAAGTATTACTCTGTTATATTCAAACACAAATGTATTCATGTTAAATAAATCATTTTAAAACTATATCTTTTCAATCATTTCAGATTGTTAAGTAAAAATATTGGAAATAGTCCCAAAAGAGAATATTCAAATCAAGAGCCACATGTGAAAAGGGCATACAAGTTTTTTGTAAACAAACCTGTGTAGGCCCTCTTCTCGCCAACCGAGGGTCGCCCACGCAAACTAACAACATCATTGGGAAGGGGAAAGCTTCCCTTATCCGGTGATGTTGATGGTTTGCGTTGGTGTCATATGGGTGGCGAGAAAAGGGCATAATGAGGTTTGTTTACAAAAAGCTTTATGCCCTTTTCACATGTTGTTCTTGAAATAACTTCGTTGAAAGTACACAGTTCGAAAACCTATTATAAATTTCTGTTACTACGATGCACAGTATTAGAGCGTCATATCAGGCATAACATTTGATAACGGCACAAAAGCATTTGTAAACAAACTTTCTAAGGCCTTTTATTTTTTATGAAGAATTGTTGTTAGTTAATACCAATCGCAATTATAAGTTAGAAATATGAACAAATTTTTCAGAAAAATTGAGATCTCCCAATTAATAATTAATGTCAGTAATAGACCCAGGAAGCCAACTAAGTGGCCCTCCACCATAAATGAGCCTCCTCGGAACTTACAAAGACTGATATAGCTGTTGCTCAGCTGTATACATCCAAAAACGCAAAATAGACTGTCAATTGTTCCTTTGGATATTAGTTTGTGATCAAAGTTCTAAAATGGCAATGTGGATTATTTTTTTCTTTTCCACTGACTGATGGATACATTTCAGTGGTTTCTCTCTTCCGGCTGGCCGATGGGTTAATTTCTAACTGACTGACTGACTGACTGACTGACTGACTGACTGACTGAATGACTGACTGACTGACTGACTGACTGACTGACTGACTGACTGACTGACTGACTGACTGACTGACTGACTGACTGACTGACTGACTGACTGACTGACTGACTGACTGACTGACTGACTGACTGACTGACTGACTGACTGACTGACTGACTGACTGACTGACTGACTGACTGACTGACTGACTGACTGACTGACTGACTGACAGTTGTGAGTTTCTGTCATCTCGTCCGCGTTCAGATCCGCGGGTCCCTGTCCACACGGAGTGCTTCAACGGAAAGATCCCTGTTGAAAGCCATTGTCTTCCACTTTTAGTCGCAAGCTCTCGTCCTCCGTACAGTCACCGTACGAGATCGCCTGATGGTCACTATGGGAATACTCTTCGCACACTCTCCAATTCATATTTTCCTCAAGCGACGGACTGCAGGAAGTGACGTTGATAATGAATTCCCGCCCAATTCTGCGAAAAGGGCTCCTGGTACCTTCGATGGACAGCCTAACTTCCAGCTTTGCCAAAGCTTCCAGCCGACTGTACCCTCTTGCGTTGGAACAGCTGCTTTCCCACTCCACTGCCCAAGCATTGAAGTCTCCTCCGATGACTACCGGTCTTTGACTGATTGACTAGCAGTGCCCTACCGTATGGGAGAGAGGTAGCAAAGCTGATGAGTGAATTCCGTGTTCCGTGTTCCGAAGAAGAAGATGAGGAAGACGAAGAAGACGAAGAAGACGAAGAATACGAGGAAGACGAGGAAGGCCAAGAAGACGAAGAACACGAAGAATACGAAGAAGACGAAGAAGATGAAGAAGACGAAAAAGACAAAGAAGACGAAGGATACTAATGATACAAGGAAAAAGAGTAAGACGAGGATAAAAAGGAAGAAGAGGAAAAAGAGGAATACGAGGAAAAAGAGGAAGACGAGGAAAAAGAGGAAGATTAAGACGAATAAAAGACGAGGAAGACGAGGAAGACGAGGAAGACGAGAAAGACGAGAAAGACGAGGAAGACAAGGAAGACGAGGAAGACGAAAAAGACGAGGAAGACGCAGAAAACGAGAAAGACGAATTAGACAAGAGAGGCGAAGAAGACGAGAAAGACAAAGAACACGAGAAAGACGAAGAAAATTAGAAAGATGAGGATGACGAAGAAGACAAGCAAAAAGAGCAAGATGAGGAAGACAAGGAAGACGTGGAAGAAGAAGAAGTGGAGGAAGACGGGAAGGTTAATAAGACGAAGAAGACGAATTACCTATCAGAGAACAGTTTATTTCAACACTTTGACTTATAAAGCAATGGAGAAATAGCAATTATATTATTGAATTTATGCACAGCTCGAAAAAGTAGTGTAAATTTCTGTCACTATGATGCACAAAACCATCCATCTTTGTAAGCAATATTTCTTGCAAGTTGAGATGAAAAGGATGCATGCTTCAATTTTAGCATGCAGGGATATTTACATCACCATTAAAATTCATAATTTTTTGGGGAGTGGGAAAAATTAACAATAATCATGATTTTATTTTTAAATTGCACTGAGCAATATCTTGAAGTTGATGCATATAAAACTCACACAGATTTGGCTGAAGAAAGACGCAGCAACTGTGGTACCGTACACAAAATGACGAACATATAATAACATAGCCAATAGGATGTATCAAGTCTACACACTAAGAAAAATGCATGTAAATTTAGGTGCTCTGAGACTGACATATACAATTTTAACATAAATTTGAGTCATAACAGACGCAAAATTCAGCTCAAACAAACGTACTTTTCGTCGAGCAATGGAACTTTCAGTCTCGGAGCACTTAATTTTACATGACATGTTTGTTTACGTATCACCTTTTATATCAAAGATGGATTCCGTCACGTGTAATATAAGTTATTTCTTAGTGTTTATATGGTGGGTCGCAAACCCTTACTGTCCAGTGCGGATTTGATTTGTACTGAGGTCTCCATAAGTAGATCCTTCTCACATTTGGGTTTGTTAAGAAATAATGTGTGCCGGAAGGTGGAAAGACTCGCTGAAGCAAATTCAAAGTGTGGTATACGATTCCTACGCAGTTAATAAAATCCCAATCAATACGAACCATGCTCATTAATTATCCACTCCAGGCACCGAGCCATCGCTCAGACAAGAATGCAATTATACAACTCTGCGCGTCCATATGTTTGCCACTTGTCACTAGAACTGCAGTGCTCTCTCGTCCTCTTCCTCTCTTCCTGGGTGGTCCAAGGTTGTTTGCGCAGCAAGAAAGGTTTCGAATGACAACGCCGGTTCTTTTCCTTTATTTAACGTCGGTCTCTGTTCCGCAATCTAGTGCCAATCACCGACGGACATCGATTGTCCATTGACGGCAATTGAATGTGCAGGAAGGCAGCGTAGGATATCGCACCCATTCAAACATACATGGGCCGGGACCAACGGCTTTACTTCCCTTCCGAAGGAAGACGTGACCAGAGATTTTTTTTTGCCTCAGAAAAATCCCACCGACCTCGGCTGGGATTGAACCCAGACCCATCGGGGTGTTAGAAAGCAGTCACGGTTACCACTACACCACCGGCGCCGGCTCAACGCCGGGTGCTCAACCAAAATATAGCCATTATTTCCGATATTGCTAGGATGAGCATTTTTGATGCCACTTTAGTTGTCTCACTCTCACTCTTTTACCCAAATGTCTCTTTTCAATTTACATGAATTAATGTAACTCAAAATATTGATCGTATAAGCCATCTTGGAGAAACGTTGCCTAAATTGAATGCAATTTTAAAACCTTTAGTTACTCAACTGGGTAACAAAGGTAATTTGGCCTAAATAGTGATTTTATGGCTGTCTTGGGGTTCGAAATATTTTATCATGATTTTATGAGTGTTTTGGGAATCTTTAACTGCTTTATCACCATTAATAAGCTCCAAATCGTGATTTAATGGGTGTCTCTGGGTTTGAAATCTTTCAAAGCGTTCAACTCTGAAAATAAGGATTAAATTACGATTTGAGGAGTATTTTTGGGTTTAAAATCTAGAATCGCGGTTAGCTTCTTAATCAAGGCACAAATCGTGATTTTGGGGGGTTTGGGTTTCGATATCATTTATCGCGTTTATATCCGTAAATAAGGCCTCAATCGCAACTTTAGAGGTGTTTTGGGGGTTTGAAATCTTAAATCGCATGTTTCTCCGAAAATATGGCCTAAATCACAATTTCATTAGTGTTTTAAGGTTCGAAATCCAAGCAATGAAAAAAATGCCCCAAACCAATAGCTCAACTGACTCCGAGATATATTCCTGTGCTGCTGTTGGCAGTGAACTGCAGTTCCACAGTTATCAATTGAGAGCTTTCTTTGCCAACCAATGCATGCTTTTGTGTATTGTTTACACACTAAGATTATTTTAGAAATTTCAGAGAAATTTTACCGAAATCTGTACAATTGAACGGTAGGCAAACACCTCGGTGATTTTTAACAGTTTCCCTGTCATTTTCACAGATATTCTGCGAAAAATTACTGGAAAAGTCACCGAACGTTCAGCTGTTGAGATTTCGGTAAAATTTCACAGAAATCTGGGAAATAATATTAGTATGCAGCAAGCAGTGTTGGAATTATCATCAATCAAATTATATTTTAGCACTCTCGTACGTTCTCAATATCATGCGTGGAACAAAATATCCTACTTCACATTGATTTTCCTTAGATATTCCGAGACTATTTACATCATGTAGAAATGAAGCAGAGAGTTAACTCGTCACCAAAATGATTCCGTTGCACATCGTTTTCTTAGAAAGAGAAAGTGTAGATTGCTATCTCTTTTTACTCTTCACCTATGACAGACACAAAGCTACTGCTGCCAGCAGTGACGATAGATTCGGGTCGCGTTTTGATGTAAAGCAATAATCATAAAACTCAAACTCACCACTGTGTGGTTATAACTGTAGCTGGAGAGCCTTGTTAGTTTGATATTCGTAGCTAGGATAACATAGCTTTTAAAACCATCCGCATTTGCTTGCTTGTTGATTTTTGTCCACGAAAATCAAGCGTGATCTTGGGAATGATTTGGATTTTTTTTTATATTTTCCCAACACTGGTAGTAAGCATAGTGATACTCTTCTATGTTCAGGAAAGTAGAGAAAATTTTCAATCCAAAATATGTTCTAGACTGGACCGGGAATCGAACCTACAACTTCCGGCTTAGTAAAGCCGTGCCTTAACTTACTATAGGGTATCTGAGGCCCTTATGCATCTTAAAATTATAAAATGTAAAAGGTTATCCAGAAAGCATAAGCACACTTTCAGCAGGCCAACATTTGAATCGCAGTATTTTTTATCAACCACCAAAATGTATTACAGTATTCCAAAAAATTTCAACTATTTAGTTATTTCACAGGATTTTTGTCACATTCGTTGAAAAAGAAAATGAAAAAGAAAATCGATCAAGTTAACCAACCCAGTGAAAATGTTTATTTTTATTACTATCAATTTTCATTTTGTATTGCACCTAACGCAGTGAAAACCTCAATCATCAGAACATCCCACTGAACCAAGTTCTTCGCTTTTCTCTGTTTGATGCTCCGGACAACTGCTGGGTGTGCAAGCTGAGAGCTGTATAGAATGCCTCGTGTACTACGTGTTCCTGACTAATGTCTGCTACAGTCTGGCAGCCAGCCAAGGCCATCGTTGTATCCAGCTCGTCTTTCAATATATCCAATACGTGTTCGACTCCTTGCTGACCATTCACAGCCAGCCCCCATAAAGCTGGCCGGCCAACCATTACCATTTTAGCTCCAAGGGCTAAAGCTTTAAAGGCATCCTTTCCTTCCCGTACACCTCCATCCATAATGACAGTCATGCGATTCCCGACAGCAGCAACAATTTCTGGCAGGGCTTCAATCTAAAACATAGTTTAACAGATACATTGAAAAGTTTTGTGGAGAAATTTGGACATTCATTATTGTTACCGTGGCAGGAGCAGAGTCCAACTGTCGACCTCCGTGATTGGAAACCCAAATACCATCAACACCATTTTTAACTGCTATTTCTGCATCTTCCTTAGTTAGAACTCCTTTTACAATCACAGGTAGTTTGGTAAGTTTCTTCAACCATTTTATATCGTCCCATACAAGGGATGGATCTAATTGCTCTTCGCCATACTGGTTAAGCCCTGAGCCACTTTGACTTTGCACTCCCGTAGCTTGCTCACCTTCAAAGTTCGCGACACTGAAATTGCAAACACAAAGCCTTACTTGTCATACTTTTTCTGAATTCTTCAAACCTACGTTAACCCAGGTGGCAATGTGAATCGATTTCTTATATCCGCTCGACGTTTTCCAAACTTTGGGCTGTCCACCGTAATCACAAGGGCTTTAAATCCTGCCTTTGTAGCCCTTCGAATCAGCTGCTCGGTCAGTTTTCGCTCCTTGTAGATATACAACTGAAACCATTTGGGCGATTTCGATGCCCCTCCCGCAACCTCTTCGATTGAACTATTGGACAAAGTACTCAATGTAAACGGTACCTTTCGACTGGCCGCAGCCCGCGCATTAGCCACTTCACCCTCCGGATGAGCCATTTTTTGAAATGCTGTTGGCGATATTCCAATCGGCATAGAAAACTCGTCGCCGAACAGTTTCACCTTCATGTTGCGATTGGAGACATTGCACAAAACTCTTGGCCGTATACGCAACCGATCGTAGCTTGCGCGATTCAACTGAAGTGTTTGTTCATCGTCCGCCCCACTTCGGTAGTAGTCCAGCGCTTCCCGAGGAAGACTCGTTGATGCACGATCCTCATAATCCTGAACGGTGATCAATCCCGACATGGTTGCACAACGAAGGAAGACAAACTAAACTGATGGGATGGATATCAAAATCATTTATGCAAGCAAGAAGTCGCTCAATGTTTCACGAACGTATATAAACGCAACGGTTGATTGCATTTTCATTGGTGGTTGTTTGAAGGAACGATGGTGTGGAGTTGATAAACATATAGAATGGATGCAGCTTGATGGTAATGGCTAGCTTGAATCAGTGATGCATGAAATGATCATGGACCGTGTGCTTCGGGTATGTAGCGATATGGTTTATAATATAAGCTAAAGGTTGCAAAGTTAAAACTCACTGCGAGGCTTTATCTTTATTTTTATTGGGAGCATGGAAAAGCCCATTTGAGTGGAGCGAACTTCGAAGCTTTTTTTCTCAAATGGGCATGAAATCTCCTCATCTTTTTGCATCAAGAAAACAGTATATTCCAAATGATAAAGTATTAACTTAAGGGGAAACACCTGTTGAGATCTCTAAATGATCTCTAAAAAAGATTTTGTTTTAAGAATATTTTGAATGCAATCACTTCGGATTTTGAGTATGTTATTAAGCAACATTTAAGTTTTATTTTCGAAATTCGGAAGCCAAAAATCTATTTTTTTCCGCTGGAATCCACATTTTTTTACCATTAGAGATCTCAACAGGTGTCCTCCCAGGACTAAACAAAAACTAACAACGATATACGAATGAATTGGTTAGAACGGATGGTACGACGACAAAAATAAAAATTCAAGTCATGTAGCACTGCAGGATAATCTATTTAAGATTGAACAACATGCGATGTGACAAAAGCCTTAGTGACATTCCTACGAACCTCCAGAAGGTCATGGTCAATTATTTTCCAACGATCTTCATAACTAGGTAGATTATATTGATCATTCCAAGGCAAAAATCGAACAGTAAAGCGAGTAAATTTATGATGGATATGGATAACTTCTACTTGCTGTATGCTGTTCGTTCAGCCAAGACAAAAACTGCATATTCCAATGTAGAGCTATTTTAGGAACAATTCAGGGTCTTCAAACAGTGATCATCCGAAAATTCTTTTGCAGCATGAAAAGTGAAGCCCAGGCATTAAGAAGCTTTGGAGATTATCCTACATATTTTTTTAAACTAAGATTTTAATCTGGGGTGATTACCTCTCACCCCAGCAGGCCTGTGTTCAATTCCAGTCAGCGCCGCCGGGATTTTATGAGGCATAACATCTCTTTCAGAACGAACTTGACTGTTTTCCAACTGGTGCGCAACAAATCGAATGCCATCAAACGCTCAGTAATTTCTTTTGGGTGTAAACGCTCTGTCATTTCATTTGATTGCGCTATTGCCGGAACATCTCTAAATTTTCCATTTTCCATCAGACATTTTCAAATAAAGCTTGACCCTATGTTCATATTTTTCATCATAAATTTTCAGTAAAGCAGCTTCCCTCCAATCCTCAGAATGGTGCAAATTTTACACGAGAAATTATTATTAAAATTTGTTTCTCTATTCAGCAAATTTAAGACCAAAAATTTTCCGAAAAGCTTGCCCATCCGTTCACCAGAACGGTGCAGATTTTCCACCAGAAAATTTTAATTTAGCTTAATTTTAAATAAAGCTTGTGCCTTCATTTACCAGACTAGTGCAAGTTTTCCACTAGAAATTTTCTGTTCATTTCATTTATCAAAGCGATGCAAATTTCGCACCAGAAATTTTCAATAGAGTATGCTCCTCCATTCATCAAAACGGTGCACCAAAAATTGTCAGTGAAGTTTGTTTCACCATGCACCTTTGTGGTGCAATTTTCAGGCTTTGCCTCTTCATGCAGAATGGTGCAAATTTTGCACTATAAATTTTCAATGAAGCTTGCATTTCCACCAGAAATTTTCAGTTAAATGTGCACCTCCAAATTTTTAGCGCGATTCAATTTTGGAACCAGAATCAGACATATTCAATAAAAAGCTTTTTCTTCGATTTACCACCACGAAGGTGAACTTTTTTAACCTTAAATTTAACCTTTTTTTAATTTAAAACTCCATGAACAACCTAGAAAAAAAATTACACCAGAAATGTTTTGTATTCACCAGTGTGGTGCAATTTTTTGACCACCTTGCCCCACCCTGTGCATACCAGTGGCGCTGGAATAGGCAATCTCTCAAACCCAGACCGCGGAGTAGTCAAGTTGGCAAAGTTCGGTAAGCTAAGAAAATTCTAGTGCAAGCCAATAGTTGTCAAATTGTGCGATATTGTGAGTGCTACAAAAAAATATTACCGTGCTATTGCACGGAATGCTAGAAGTTATAAAGAACGATTTTCAGTGCTAATGTACTTGTTTATAAAAGTGTAAAACCAATCTAGAAAATATACAATTTCTTTATAGAGTTAAGCTTTTAAAAAACGTGCCTTAGAAGTTATTCCGTACAGTATACTGTACAATGCTACCGACGCTAGGGAGGCACCTCCCACACCAGGACCCTACCTATCGACCCATCAATTCATGAACCGAGGACCAACGGCTTTACTTCCCTTCCGAAGGAAGGCGTGATCAGAGATGTTATGCCACATAACATCCCGGCGGCGCCGACTGGGATTGAACCCAGGCATGCTGGGCTGAGGGGTAATCACGCATACTACTATAACTGTAAACGTGATCTAAAAGAAAAACATAATTGTAATGTCGAATATGTATTCATTCGAAGAACATCCTTCGAGTGAAGGTACACCCCTAGGATGCCACGGAGTCCGTTCTAATCGTCAGCTTCATAGAACAGGCGTCTTCGACCGATGAGGCATACAACATAGGCACACCTAAGCCTGCACTCTCATTGACGGGAATCATCAACGCGGTCCAGTCCGCATCGTGCTCTCTTGCCGTGCGGATCTATTTGCTTTTTGCTGAAGGAAGTGTTACTACTACCTAAAGCTACAACAAATTTAAACAGCACTTTTCAGTGCTCAACCTGTAAAAATTTTCTACCTTGTTCAACTCTTATTCCTCTTCGATCCTTGTTTGGACCCTACCCGAGGTAATCCTTCTTGGATATCGATTTGGAAAATTCCTCTTCGACCCTTCAGATTCTTATAGTAATCTGCTTGGAAGTCGATTTGGATAAAAATTTACTGCCGCCATGGCGCCTAAACGCAAAAGAAAGGGGCAAACTCTTGACCCCCCTTCTGATGAAATTAATTTGAGTAATCAATTTGATTTGCTCACGGATGATGAGAATGATCCATCATCCAAGAAAAATTCTAGTAAACTTTCCCGGCTTAATGCCAAGAAGGAAAAGATTCCCCCTATTGTGATAACCACTACCGATTTCCATGCTCTTCGCATGGAACTTTTGAATTTCGTGAAAGTTAAGTTTTCACTACAAATTGGACGTCGGGGTGAATGCCGTGTATTGGCTGAAACCTTGGACGGATTTAAATGTCTTCTCAAGTATCTTACTGAGAAGAAGCACAAATTTTTTACTTACGACACCAAAACTGAACGTGTGTTCAAGGTTGTCATGAAAGGACTGCCCAGTGGTGAATCCCTGGATCAGATCAAAGATGAACTGGCAAAATTACTTGGAGTTGTGCCACTCCAAGTAATCAAAATGAAAATGAAATCCCGTCCTGGCGATTCGCGCAACGGGATTTCTAATGATTTTTATTTAGTTCACTTCAAGTCTAGTGAACTAAACAACCTTAAGGCCTTAGAAAAAGCTAGCCTTATGCTCCATGTCCGAGTGAAGTGGGAACACTTCAGGAAGACTGGAGGAAATTTCCAAAACCTCACCCAGTGCCGTAAGTGCCAGGGATGGGGTCACGGAACTAAAAATTGCTACATGCCAGCTAAATGCATGAATTGTGGTGATTCCTCTCACGCAAAGGACGACTGTCCTGTGAAGGAAGATCCTAAGAAATTTAAATGTTCAAATTGTGGTGAAAACCACAAATCCAATTTTTGGTAATGTAAGACTCGCAAAGCGATCCTAATCGTTCTAACCGTCAGATAGGAAACGCTCCACGTTTCCGACCAGGTACAAATTCCTCTGCTGTTAACAACGGTCAGCGAGGAACAAATTCTACATTCGTACCCGTAGGTACAAATATCACCCCTGCTTCAAATGTTTCATCTGTACCTACTCCCCTCGCTGCTAACAATGTTCAGCGAGTTAATGGAGCTACCTATGCTGCTATTGCACAGGTAGAAATCAAAATACTAACCAACGTTCTAACGGAAATTTTGACAATTTTGACTTAGGAAGCATTACTGCCCCCAAAATGGAATTTTTACAGAATTCATTAATTGACATGATTTCTGATATGCTTAAATCTAACTCCATGTTTGGTGCTATTCAAACTGGAGTAAAATTTGCAAATAATATTGTCATGACTTTAAAATTCAGTAATGGATTTTAAAGCATTAAATATTGTAAATTGGAATGCTCGATCTCTTAAAGATAATGAAGACGAGCTATTTAACTTTTTGAGAGTTCATAACGTGCATATTGCCGTTATAACTGAAACGTTCCTTAAACCTGCCCATAAGGTTAAGAAGGACGCAAATTACTTGATTTATAGAAATGATCGTCTTGATGGACCCTGTGGTGGCGTTGCCATCATTATTCATAGACGAATCAAACATAAAATTCTTTCTTCATTTGAAACCAAAGTTTTTGAAACTTTGGGAGTTTCTGTTGAAACAAAATTTGGACAACTTACGTTTATAGCTGCCTATTTGCCATTCCAATGCGTAGGCCAGCAAAAGAATTTTCTCAAGGGTGACGTCCAGAAACTTACCCGTCACAGGTCTAAATTCTTTATTATTGGTGGTTTTAATACAAAACCCCGCTCATGGAATAATGCTCAAAGCAATTCCAATGGTAATATTCTGTTTGATGATTGTTCTGCAGGTTATTACACTATTCAATATCCAAACAGCCCAACATGCTTTTCTTCTGCAAGAAATCCCTCCACTATTGATTTGGTCTTAACTGATTCATGTCAACTTTGTAGCCAATTGGTTACCCAT